TTTATATAGATAAATATGTTAATATATTTTAGTAGTCATAGCTCTATGGCACACACAAAAACATTCGAAATTCCGTTCGTAGCGCACGCACACTGCAATCTGAAAATGAAATCCACTTTTAAGCATTAATAAAAGAAAGGGGAGAACTCCTAGCAGCTACTTAGCTTTAATACTTCACACAATCATTTGCTTATGTCTGTCGTACTATAAATCAAATAATAAAATCCCAGAAAATTGTTTCTTGAAGCTAGCCTAAGCAAAAGCTATAAAATAATTCTTACTTCGTCACCAACAAGAGCCTAATCATATCTTATATATTTTATTTAATAGTTATAAACTATTMTGTTAAATCATTCAAATTATTATTATAAAACAAAAAGTGTACTTAAATTTTACAAATGCATAATTCAGTAATATGGATGAGTTGATCTAAAGATTTATTACATATTTAGTGAATATTAAAAGTTAACTTTATGAATATTTTAAAATAAATGCAAATAAGCAAACGGTTCAATAAAATAAACATTAAAATAAAAATAAAAAAATTACTAAAGCTTGTATTTAATTTTAGAACGAAAATATGTTTATTTTCTGCCAGGAGCCAGGAAGTTCCTAAGTCCTTGCCAAAGCGATTTAGTTGAGGGATCTTAACACATTTATGCGATTGTTCGTGCATTTTTTATGTGTCCTGACAACTCAACTGGGCGCTGATAGCCCAAAGGAGTCGCTGAGCTGGTCAACGAGCCACATAAATCAAAAACTGCCAACAGCCACGCCCCATCGCCTCTCGCGCACACCATCATCTGTTCGCGTTGCTGCTGCAATCCAAATGCTGGCGTTAACGCATGAAATATGCATATGCATATGGGGGAGAATAGCAGGATATGTTTGACTATAAGAATGCAACTGCTGTGCAGATGTTCGCTGCATTCCTTGCCATTTTTTATGCACACCCACATAGACGCACACATACACTCTCTGCTTGACCCCCAGCAGAATTTTACTGTTTGGCAGGTCAAAGCAAGCACTGTTCAAACTTCAAGCTGTTTCCTGTCGTTGCCTTGCCTGCTCGCCTCAAACCTCTCAGTTTGCTCGACGTTGTGCAGCACATCAAAATAAAAAGAAATAAAAAAAATATACGTATATATATTACTAAAAAAAATTGAAAACATATTCTATTCTATAAAGGAAAACTCAAAATGGCTGATAAGGATAAAGAAAAAAATAATTATGTAGAAGATGAAGAGGAGCCGCCACAGCGGGCAGAACGCGTAGATCAGGGCACTCAGCGCTCGGGTCGTCGCCCACTGCCGCCGCCACGCCCACAGCGTAACCAGGCGCCAGACGAGGAGCCGCCATCCCCTAGTGGTCGCCATATAATCCTGCCGCCGAAAGTTAACGAGTCGCAAGATCACACTGCTCCAGGCTCGCCTAGCCCATCCACCCAGCCGCTGACCACAGAACAGGCGTCCCCACCACTAAAGACGGGCATAGCACGACTTTTTAGGCGTAAACAGATCTACGATGGAGATCGCGGCGAATCAAATACCGAGCCTGAAACTAGACGTAGATCAATATCTGACAGACAGGGCATGAGAACGAAAGCATCGCGCATTCTGTATACAACCGACGAGGAGGTGCGCGATGCACTCATGGAATTTGCCGTCTTTATCATATTTCTCGTCTTAACTTCTTTGGGTGAGTAAAATAGTTCTGCTTCTGTTTTAATTCAATAGCTCTAGCTTTAGGATTTCTTTTGATACATTTTGTTTCCGCGTCTAATTAATAAATACTGTGTTCAATATCCATTGCAGTCACGCTCTCAGTTCGTCATCCCTACATGTTCTATTTTAATGATACGATAAAGAAACTTTTCACAACCCGTGATATGATTATAGTTCCCTCGGTCACTATATCATTTGAAAAGATCCTGACCATACCGGACTTTTGGGACTATTTAGTCTATAATTTTTTAGTAAATCTACACGGCGATATGACAGGCATAAACTCGAACCTTCAACAAATTGACAACCCAGATGTTTCGATAACTGAACCTGGAGGTGGACCTGGAGGTGGACCTGGAGGTGGACCTGGAGGTGATCCTGGAGGTGGATCCGGAGGTGGACCCGGAGGTGGACCCGGAGGTGGACCCGGAGGTGGACCTGGAGGTGGACCCGGAGGTGGACCTGGAGGTGAACCTGGAGGTGGACCTGGAGGTGGACCCGGAAGTAAATCTGAAGAAGACCAAGTTGTTAATGACGATAACCCAATACGCAAAGATAAACGTCAAGCACATACGGGGAACACAACGAATCTGCTAGGTAGAGTCTTTTTGCATGAGAACCTATTGCTGGGACCGCCCCGACTGCGGCAGATACGTGTGCGCAAAGATAGCTGCAATGTTAACGATGCCTTTATACGTTACTTCAACACATGCTATGCAGAGTATTCATCAGGAACGGAGGAGATTGTAGACTATCACATGGGCACCCCATTTAGAACGATGAAGGACTTAGACTCGACTCCCTTGTGGACACAATTGAATTTTTATCGCACTGGCGGCTATACCGTCGACTTATCCTTTAGTAAGCAGAAAAATCTACGGACTATCAAAAGATTGATGAATGAACATTGGCTGGATCGCGGCTCGCGGCTTTGCCTGATCGAGTTTAATTTATATAACGCAAATACAGATATATTTCAGAGTGTAAAGTAAGTTGATGCGGGATATTATATCATATTTACAAGCATTTTAATTGCTTAGATCTTGCCCAAATGTATTAAATTCTCGATCTCGGGACATTTAAGAGCAGGAGATTTATATTGATATAAATATATTTTATACTAAAAATCTAGAATATTTGTACATATACAATATATTCAGCTTATAAGATCTAGCCGAAAAGTTTAACTGTCAACAGCGTATCTAAAAGTCAGCCACGTCCAACACGATGTTTATTGCTCATATTCTTGTTGATTTCAATTTATAATCTTTTCTAGATTTATTGCGGAAATACCGCCTACTGGGGGTGTCATACCTCAGAGTCAGCTGCAGACCGTGAAAGAACTCTCATTTTTAACTGATCGAAGTCTGTCCATGACCTGCGTAATTATATTTTGGTATGTTATGGTTGTATACTACACCATTTCGGAAATAACTGCAATACGCAGAATTGGCCCCAAGAATTACTTTAAGTCAATAATGAATATACAGGATTTACTTATATTGGTCGTACGTTGCAACCGAATATTACATAATTTCCGACTCAATAAATCTCCTACCATGTATTTTAGTTTGCATATCTGGCTATGATCTATAACGTTTGGCACATGTTTAAGGTGAGTGGAATTGTAGATGCATTAAAGTCCAAAGAAAAGTACCTGAGTTTGGATACTTTATGTTTGTGGAATACTATATATGTGGATATGATGGCCATTTTGGCATTTCTCGTTTGGGTTAAGATCTTTAAATTTATTAGTTTCAATAAGACGCTCGTGCAGTTTACAACGACATTGAGACGTGTGAGTAACAAATGTGATATAAGAAATTACTAGGAGCATCTAAGCATCTAAACAATTTCCTATCATATTTAGTGCTCGAAGGATTTGGCTGGCTTCAGTCTCATGTTCGGCATCGTTTTTCTGGCATATGCCCAGCTGGGTCTCCTGCTGTTTGGCACTAAGCATCCAGATTTTCGCAATTTCCTGACATCTATTTTGACCATGATACGCATGATTCTGGGCGACTTTCAATACAATCTCATTGAGCAGGCTAACCGTGTGCTGGGACCCATTTACTTCCTCACTTACATTCTGCTGGTCTTCTTTATTCTGCTGGTAAATATTGAGATATTTATTACCAAAATGCCACTGATCATTTTTTACTATTTTAGAATATGTTCTTGGCCATCATCATGGAAACGTACAATTCGGTAAAGAGTGAAATAACTCAGGGTCGCAGTCAGCTGGGCGCATATGTCTATAAGAAAATTTCAGCTTTCTTCTATATGATTAGACACTGTGGACGCAAGCGTCAAAATCAGGTCCTGCCACAGCCGACTGAAACCGAAGAAGATTTAGGCACTGATATGGCTAACAATCCCTACCAACCGAGGGAAAGAATTCATTTACGCAGAAATCTAACGGAAGCCGAGTAATTGAATATAGCAAAAGTTACAGTTATAATTTTATTATATCTATGTATTTTTGTTTTCTATAGGGCGCACTATTTCGCAGATGTACCTAATGAAGTCAGGAATAAGGATATGTACCGGTAAGTACCGAATCATTTCTTTACATATATTCGAAATTCATCTACTGTGTCAATTTCCTTCAGTCTCAACAATCGCGTTTCTTTGCTGGAGGAAATTCTGGAACAGCTGGTTACCAATATGGATACCATTTTAAAGCGGGTGGAAAGCGAAATTAAGAAAAACAAATGAAGCTGGGTCTATAGAGTTTCTGTAGCTTTCAATGATTAGTTTTAAATAAAGTAAAATATGTATTTAAATGAACAAAATTAAATTTGTTAAGTTCCACTCGCTGAGCAGCAGCAACAGCGGCAGCCAAGCGAAGAAGCCACAGAAACCTCCAGCGCTAATCTCTGCCAAATCTGCCCTAACGGGAGTTTCAAAGCATTGCCACCTAATGTGTATTTAGTTGGAGAACAGACTGCGGAATAGCGTGCCAAAAGGACATGTGGCCCACGCGCGGGGCGCATCATTAAGTATCTGGCGTTTAGGACCAGGTTGCTGGTATACTAGGGTACAAACACTTCTAGCCACCATGTTGCGGTTGTGGCACGTGTGTGTGTGTGTGTGCCCAACAGCAACATCTGTGCTGAAAACCAAAGGGTGGCAGAGTTATGAAATAACTTGTATATACAAATTGAATTTAAAAACGTGCAAATAAGGCAACGAAATTTAAAAGAAAATAATCGCAATAAGAAATGAAATATGTTCAAAGAAACATAACAATTTTAAAATAAATCGAAAATATTAAAACTGCAGTGTAAACATGAGTTTACTTTAAATTTCACTCAAAACTCTTCAAATAATGTTAATTAACACAGGAATTTCAAGATAACAGAAATGTTGTTTAACTGCAGTGAAATCAATACAAATATGCAATAAGCAAATCTTTACATATCAAATAGATTTTACTTAACAACCATACTCGTATTATTCCACTTTTGTAAATACAAATACAAAATACAAATTGAAAACTTGCCGTCGAGGCTCAACAGGGAGCTGCTATGTAAATACAAAAGCGAGCAGAGAACTGAAGCAGACAAATTGCGCTGGCAGCACTGCCGCCATCGCTGCCGCCGTCAATTGCCACTTGAAAAGGCGCCAATTGCCACAGGGTAACTAGCGGGCGGCAGTGCGGCATGAGGCAATGCCATAATTACTTACCTTTATGCTTTATGCATGCACAGAAAAATGTTAAAATGTTGCTGCTGCTGATCGTCATCATCGTCATAAAGATGGCGATGATGATGCCAGCCGGTTGGCAGCGGGCCAGTTGAAGCGGCATTGCCCAATGTGCTGCTCAAGCCCGTCCCCCATAATGTACAAATATGTCGGCCACTTGTGCATTCAATGGGCCTGCGATTCGCCCAAACAACAGCAGCAAAATGAATACGAAAAAAAAAGCCAAAAAATCTAAATGCTCAACTAAACAAGTAAGAAAGCTCTAGTCGAGACTGCTCGACTACGAGATCCCCTGAACACAAGAAACACACACACATACACAAACACATACACACACATACACA